CCTGGCCCATAGCTAATCGAGGATACCCTCCCCCTGGTCAACGTTCGCCGTCAGCACCGTGGTTTCCTTCTTCACCTCTGGGTCTCCGTCTGTGAGGTCTGGAATCCTCAATGGACTCTTTGGCCAACTGTCTTCTTCCAAAAAGAGGAAAGCAGGTCCCCGAATCCACCTGCCCTCCTCGTTGAGCTCTGCTCCATGTAATCCACGACTAGCGTCGTCGGCCGGGTTCAGTGCCGACGTCACGTGGCGCCATTGTTCTACATTGGAGTCCTCGTGTATCGTTGCCACTCGATTGGCCACGAAGGACTGGAAGCGTCTTTCGGTGTTTCGTATGTATTGAAGGACTGCCGTACTGTCTGCCCAACCTAGCAAGGTGCGTATTGCAAATGGCTCTCCGTCTTTCCCGGTTCTTACTTCTAATGGTGCTAGTGCTTGTGGTACGTCTAGACCTATCAGGAGATCCACTCTTTTCGGTGCTTGGCGTAGCGCAGTACCTCGTAGGTGTTCCCACATGGTGACATCTTGGGTGTCTGCGACCGACGATTTCAGGGAAGACGGTAGATTCTTAACAATGATGACCTTGGGGATAATGATGGATTGGCTCTTTCTGACTCCTACGCTAGCCACTCTCACACTGATTTCTTCGGTGTTTACACTATTACTTTCTTTCATGATTGTGCCAATGGAGAGGGAAACTGGCCTTCCCTCTGCCTGCAGCCGGTAAGCTAGACTACGCGTGCAATATGATCGGTTGCTGCCTGAATCCAAGAGAGCTCCGGTGACTACTGCTTCTTTCGCCTCTAGGTTCTTTTCTTCCACCCTGACTTTCACTATTGGAAGTGCGACTCTGCTGGAACTTTGTAGTCACAACTCACAATCGTTGGGTTCTTCACGCCGATCATCCATTCCATTGTTGGTTATGGTTTTCCCTGACCCATTTATGCGGATTTCTTTTCCCCATGGTGCTTGTACCGGCTTCGACCTTCCATGATATAGCTCTACTAAATGCCGATTCCGGTGGTGGCATAATAGCCTTACGTTGACTCATTCTAGGTCGCTTGTGGTCAGGTGCTATGTCTATTTGGTAGGCGTCCCCTGTGGTAGCTCTCTTCACCCTTTGGAGGCTAGTCTGGTGTTCTCCCTTCTCAACTTCGCCCCGTTGCACCTTGTCATTGCTCGTCAGAGCTCCCGTGAAGTTCAGGAGCCTCGAGTGTACTCCAGAGCAGCCATCGATACCACATACCATCTTCTGGCTGCACTCTTTTATCCGGTGATTATGACGCAGGCAGGCATAGCAGCGACGTTGTTCCCTTACAAGGGAAGTTCGCTTTCCTGTGGACATGCTGAGGAATGTCCGGCACATCCGAAGAAGGTTATCTCCACGGCATAGCGAGCAGCGTTCATCGTCCATTTCTCTGGTTGTCTTTATTCCTGATGTCACCAGACCCACAAGTCTCTTCCTCGACGAGGATTGACGTGAGTCTGCATAAATTCTGCTTGGTTCTTCCTGTCCTCGTCCCTTTGTGACCTCCTCCGCCTTGTCGACCATATCCATTGTGAATTCCAACATCCACTCGATCCCAGGAAGCTTTCCCCACTTCCTTTTGTATTTATGCTCCTTGTCCACGTAGTCGTCCCTCATCTTTCCCTTGAACCTCTCAGCTAACGTGCTTATTGATTCATACGTGTCAATCTGACGGAGTTCTCCCAAGACCTTCAAGTTCCTCACGCAATTCCCCAGTTCGTCTGAGAACTGTTGGAGGCCCTTTGCGTCACTTAGTCTCACAGTTGGACCTCGCAGGGCCTTCTTTATTAGCTGGCAAACGTAAGTGTGCTTATTGCCGTGACGTTTCTCTACTATGTCCAAAGCTTCCTTGTACCCGGCTTTGGGATCTTGAATTTGCAGACATCCCCACAAAGCGTCCTTAGCGGGCCCAGCGTAGGCAGCGAGAAGTGTCTCTAATTTCAAGGTATCAGGTATCTGCGCCATCCCAACGTGTCGCTGAAAGACTCGCTTGAACTCCCAGTATTCACTACAAGTTCCTCCGCTGAACTTCGGCGTTGGCCTTTGGGAGAACCTCATATTCTCTAGCAGTTCTCTCACCCAAACCTCGGACCTCGGTGGGTCGTCCCTTTTGTCTTTCATCAAAGGTAGTGGTTTCGGCGAACTAGCTTGATGTTCGGAAGTACTTCCGCGCTCCCCCTGGTGAGATGTTCCCGGCTCTGCGGTTAAGGTGAGCACCGGGAGTCCTCTTGGAGTATATAACGTTTCTTCGTTAGTTTCAATTACAGAGGAAAGTTTAGTCTCTGGTGGTGATAACACCTTTCCGCGATCTTCTGTGCTGCCCTTGCCTTGTAGTTGATTCATACCTTCGGTGACGTTTTGCATCATCGCTGTCATGTGAGCGAACATTTGCTGCATTTGTTGGTATTGCTCACATAATTGTCCTTCGATTCCTTTGACAGGTGGTTCCTTTCTCTTCTCGGGAGACAGGTTTACGGTAGACGGGTTTATCTCACGCTGCCTTGGCGAGGTGGGTGAGACATCGGTCTCTATGTCCACAGTGTCTCCTTGTTCTACGCCGGACACGCTCCCCACTTCTGACTTATTCTCTTTCCCGTCCATGACTGCCCGAACAGCAAGCGTAATCTGTCTTGCTTGATAAGTGTATGCAGTAACGCTTAGTATCAGGTGCCCACGATCGCAGATATCACACAATTGGAGTTGATGTCACACAGACGCGTGCCATGCGCACGAGTGATGTCACACACGAGCGAAGTCCCTCTAAACACGTGACGAGCAATACCCACGAGTGATGTCACACAAACACGACCACAGTGATGTCACACGGTCCCTCAAGCACGTGACGTGCAATACGCACGAGTGATGTCACACAAACACGACCACAGTGATGTCACACGGTCCCTCAAACACGTGACGTGCAATACGCACGAGTGATGTCACACAAACACTACCACAGTGATGTCACACGGTCCCTCAAACACGTGACGTGCAATACGCACGAGCGATGTCACACAAACACGACCACAGTGATGTCACGCACGAGCGACGATGTCACACTAACATGGCCACAGTGATGTCACACACGAGCGATGTCCCTCAAACACGTGACGTGCAATACGCACGAGTGATGTCACATAAACATGACTACAGTGATGTCACACACCAGCTACGATGTCACACTAACACAACCACAGAGATCCACAATCAATGTAGGGACTCGTTACACAACTGATGTCACAAACACTACTGCGGCGCCCTTACTTGTACAACGTTACGGCTTGTCACAACCTTCGTTGTTATTTCTTAATTACACACACACATACTTATATATACATATATACATACATGTACATATAACCTGAATGTTGAACACACTTAACCCACAAATCCCTTTCATTTATGTATTTCTTCATGGTTCCTTATCATCATTGTTTGATATACTATGGTGTCACTGGTATAGGAAGATCAGCTGTTAGTTATAATCACTTGCGTGCGTGTCCGAGCGAACGCTAACTACCAGTCCGCCCAGACCAAACATTACGACACTGTCCGGGTGTTCTGAAACCTTAGCTCACTAGGTGCGCGGCCTCCCTGTTCGGAAATGAACGCTCACAGCCCCGTACGCGCAGACCGAAGCTTTACGACACTGTCCAGGTATTTAAGACACTTCACTCAAACACAGAGCACTCGCTATCCCTGCCTCGCTGCTGACGACGCACGTGATCCACCCACTGTGGGTGGGTGGGTGATCCACCCACTATGGGTGGGTGGGCGATAGACGAGCCTATGCTCTCCCATGCTGAACTCCGGCGTTGGTCCTTCGACAGTCCTCCCGTATACGTTTTGACTGTTAACGCTCATAGGAGCGTTATTGGTTTGTTGCTGGAGAAATAAACCCTCAACGTTGACGCGTACCATATAATTCGGTCAAAACCTGTTAAAGAACATTTCTCATATAACAAATGCTGTTATCTCAGGACACATATTATGAAATACAATCAATATACAGTACATAGCCTGTTAACATCTTAAATATAACTCGCATGTTATAACTATTGATACAGGAGACAATTGGTATAATATGATCAAATTGCAGTACACAAATATACTTATTAAAGTTATTTAGAGTTTCTTAGCAGATTCTAATACTTCACGATCACTCACGTTTTAGGGTCTAGTGGTCTGAACCAACGTGTTGTCTGTCCTGTAGAAATCAGTAGACTACCCTCGAGGGCAATCTCAGCCCGGAGGCGAGGGCCATATGTTTTCGTATTGAAACACCTCAGCAGATTGGTCAGCAAATTCGTTGTCAACACTATATCTCTTATCTCACACCCCCTCTCTCTCTCTCTCTCGCCTAGTTTATCTTATTATGGTTATCCCTCTCTTTCTCTCTCTTCTAGCTTATCTTACTGTGGCGGTAACAAAAACAGACATTTCAATGGGTATGTGCTGTATCAATCCAAATGTAACTAATTGGACTAAAAAAATGTGACTTTGAAAGAGGAGGTTAGTGACTGTGATCCCTTAATTTTCTGGACAAACAAGGTGTCTCCAGTTAGTTGCCCTTATCTGCACTAAATCACATCGCATATCCTCATAGTGTTTGACTCCGATTACTTCTGTGTGACTACTTCCTCCACCATGAATTTAAAGATGAAAAATTCTGCTCCACCAACACCATCTATTCCAAAGTTCATGAAATTGACAAGAAACACAAAGTATAACTTCTCACACTAATGATGAGTAATCAGTTAATGAATGGCACATGCCAAGACTTGCAGTGTTTTATTGTGTTACAGAGAATTAGTTATTGTTGTTTCTTTATCCCCCAGGGTCCTTCCTCAACAAAAAAGGAATAAATGGCTACTTTTGATCTGACTGTACATACTATTATTAAATTGTAAATAAACCTCGTAGCAACTTGCCCCGTGAAGCCCTAAGCCATCTGGGATTACTAAGCAATTTAAGGAATTCAATAAGTATCCTAAAGAACATGAGGAATAAGTGTAATTATTCTATATGGGTGTTTATTATACGAATAATATTGTGCTATGCATATAATATAACAATATATCCGGCCGCATGTAACCAGAAAAGTTTATATTTGCGGTCGACATGACGGCATCAAAATATGTGAAGAACGGCCAGCTAAGTTGACGAGGTAAGATAAGGTTGTTTGAACACGATGCAACAAACATCTAATCTGGTACTCTCGGTAAGACAAGGAGACATGATATAAGAGCATAAAATGTCTTAACGATTACATTCACAATTAACAGTCTGTTTGTTTTGTTTTTTGTTTTGTTTTTTTCTCATTTGCCTCAAATCTTTTCTTTTTAAGCAGACGAGGGCAGTCACTGGCAGCCATATATTGGTGACACACAGCTGTCGAGCTCCTGCACCTGCTGGTTAATATCCAGAAACACTCACAAAAGTGCAGAGTCATTATTGGAGTTTCGTAGAAATAATAAACATTGCATCAGATAACACTGAAACGAGGAGATCACAGTGTTGTTAATGTTTGGGTCAACCTACTGTTGTCAGCAGATTTGTGCACTGTACTGTACTGTACTGTACTGTACTGTACTGTACTGTCCAAAGCTCACTAACACTCACATAAAGGAACTTGTAGAAGCAGCTTTTGCTAAATTTGATCTAGATTTCACAAAAATTACGGAGGATATTGTCTCGAATTTTATGTTTTAGAAAGCATTTTTTTTTCTTTTTTTCTTTTTTCTTTTTTTTACGGGATTAGCCCACCCGAGTACAGGGCCTGGGGGGCGAAAATATAATAATAATAATAATAATAATAATAATAATAATAATAATAATAATAATAATAATAATAATAATAATAATAATAATAATAATAATAATAATAATAATAATAATAATAATAATAATAATAATAATAATAATAATAATAATAATAATAATAAATAAAAATTATAACCATAAATAAGTTGAATGCGAAACATAATTTTATATTACATTCATATTTATTGTCACCCATTGGGTTACTTCATTTTTGTTTCTGTATACCAGTACTTGTGTGAATACTGTAGAGTGTAGATATTTTAGTTCATATTTCTAAATACCTAAATTCATGTTATATTTTCCTGAATTTAATACTGTGGGATGGCTGATGTCTTGTTTTTAATGTGACCGGTTACTGTATAAAGGAGCTGACCCCTGAGTTAGAGGAACAGTAGAATATATTTAGGTCGAGGTGGGTAGGGTACTCTACGGGGTTACTCTGCCATCTTTAACTTATACGAACTCTCCCATTGGTTTCCGTATGCATCACACTGTACGCTACACATTAATGTCGCTTAGTGTGTTTGAAAAATTATTCAATTTTAAACTTAAATGAAATGCAATTTGATATTACAAAGGAGCTGGAACCACGAGAAACACAAACTTGGAAAGTTATTATTATGAACTGAAACCAAAATAAACATGATAATTATGTCTTTTAAAGCGAAATTTCGATATTTTGGTGATTCTGTTATTGATTTAATGTAATATAGTGTGTGTGGGTGTGTGAGTGTGTGTGTGTGTCCTAACCAAAACTAACCTATAACAAAATTAATTTAACCTTCCTACAACATAACCAACTTTAACCAAACCTAATCTAACCTAAACTAACCTACCCATATCATAATGTAACAACCTATCCTATCCTAGCCCAAATGTAACTTGACCTAACCTACCCCAAGCCTTACTTAATCTAATCTATCCCTAAATGAATAAAACCTAACCTAACCTATCCCTTACTATAATTTAATAAACTTGTTGACTTTATGATGGAAATTCGTACCCGGTTCTTGATTTGGTTTTGGGATTTCATGCGGCACTACTTAACGATGCCTAATGATATAGCGCCTTTAGATAGTGCCTCTTAAAATCCGAGTAGTGATTTGACAGATGCCTCTGATCATATATTCCCGCGATTTCATCCACTGACGAACTCTCCCTCGTAAACCATCCCATAGTGCACCGTGTCTCGTATTTATTTTTCAATTATGACGTCATAGAGGATTAGAGTTACCAGAAAGATATTTTGTAAAAATAACATTGAGGGTTTTATTGAGATTTATCTCGTCCACGTTTCCAATGTGGATCTACTTGATATATATATATATATATATATATATATATATATATATATATATATATATATATATATATATATATATATATATATATATATGTGTGTGTTTTGAAGCCGGATTTGGTAAAACGTTACTCTGACCACCTACGTGATACGGGTAGTCCCCATTTATTTATTTATTTATTTATTTACTTATTTATTTATTTATTTATTTATTTATTTATTTATTTATTTATTTATTTATTTATGTGCGTGCGTGTCTGTGTGTGTGTGTTGTGTTCCTCTCTTTCCCTCTTGTCCCTAAGTAAAACCTCTCTGGAGTCAGAAAATATAGGTATATTTATTATTTTTTCAATTATTTAGGATGAAAGTAATAACTAATGTAATGGAAGCAGTAGGTAGTTGGCAGCTACCAAACAGGGAGGTACTACCGCCTGGGAAGATATTGGAAGCATAATGTAATGTTTAATGGTAGACCCTGCTGCCATATGGCATCACGAATATTGTGACCAAGTCCCAGGTTGCTGATAGGACTTTCTGCCTCGTTTACACACAATTGCAGGGTCTCAATTGTTTCTCTTACTATTGACAACACAACATATATACAGTATATTGTTTCTCACTTGTGATCGTTTTTCATTTTTGTATTTCTTTATGGTTCTTTATTTTTATAATTGTTATTATCATTATTATTATTATTATTATTATTATTATTATTATTATTATTATTATTATTATTATTATTATTATTATTGTTATTATTATTATATTTTCTCTCCCAGGGCCCGATGTGGATCAGTGACCTGTGTCCGAGTGGGCTGAATCTCCGTAAAAAAATAAAGTAAATAAATAAATAAAATAAAATAAAATATATACAGTATACTGTATATGGTTGATGGCGGACGAGAGTTTGTTTTTTTTCCAACAATTTCACCTTGCGGCAGGGAGAGAAGGCTTCAGGTGACGGTATAACCTTAATCATTTCAATGAGGCAACCATTCCACCAGCCACTCGGTCAACTAGTGAGTGCACCACAAAAAAAGAATCACAGTTTTCGCCAGCATAATGAACATGGATGAGTAACAAGACAAAATGTAAATAACACCTATAAGATGACTTACCTGGTATCTGTCGAGGGCGATGGCGGTGATGGAGATGGTGGAGACGAAAATGGAGGTGGCCTGCAGAGTGCCCACCAGTTTGCAGAGGAAAGGGTGGTCACCGAGAGGCCAGTACTGCGACAGGAGCTCCACCAAGGTGAGGGGCATGGTGACCAGACACAGGAGGAGGTCTGAAATGGCCAGGTTGATGATGAACACATTGCGCGCCGTCCTCATAGCGGGCTTTCTAATGACGGCAACGACGACGAGGGAGTTCCCCGTCGAGCCTAGGACGATGAGTAGACTGTAGACGACGATGAGGGCGTAGTAGGCCCCGTCGTTCACCCGCCTATTTCGCTGGAACTTGTTGATTAGGTCGATGTTAAGGCCCTCTGACACGTTGAATAGCCAGGAGAAGTTGTGCGCCAAGTTGGTGAGATTATTGTCGAAGTTTGCTAGCGTTAGGAAGTCGAGGCTACTAATCTCTGGCGACCCAAAGCCATCCGAGGGCAGCTCCTGGCTCGCCACTGAGATATCTGGACCCTGATCCATGGCTGCTGCTACAAACTGTTGATCGCTTTCGTACTGTTAGTTTTACTGTAGCCGGAGGTCCTGGGAGCGTAAGAGCGTGATACTACTCCCTCATCAGCTGTTACACTCTAGTTTTTGTTGGTGTTGCACATTCAGTAGTTGTGGGAAGCATATTCTAGCTCCCATTACGTAATCGTTTGCTGTGAGAAACGTGTTTTGCTTGACTACGAAGAACTGATCACATGTGAGAGACACATTTTAGCTAAACACATTCTAGCTAATACAACTTACTTTTCAGCTCCGCGAAACTCCTACCATTAGCTATGATGTCAATCCTTGGTAATACTCCCCTGTACTGGGATTCTGGTCCTGACAGAGTGGGATATTTTCAGTTTTATGGGAAACTTGCTTTTCTCGTGTGATGCACCAGAGACCTGTTTATTTTACCTTGACGTATCGACGCATTGTTTACCTTGACGTTAACCTTGACGTATCGACGCGCTGTTTACGTAGGGGACTCAATAACGTCTTCAGGTTATATTAGTTTATGTTGTCTATACTTTTCACTGTCTGGGAAGCCATCCTTGTATATATACATGTGTGTGTGCCTGTGTGTTTTGCCTGTAAATACAAGAAAGAAAACACATTTTTACGCCAATACACGAGACACACTCACTAGAATACTAATACTGCTCTAAAAATACCTACTTTTTACTGGTATATTTTCAGATATCATCGTAATAACGTAATAATAATAATAATGAGAAGAAGAATTTCATTTTTTCCGTAGATTTACACCAGGTTCTCATAATGCAATATAAAACCCAATTTAGCCATTTAAACCTGTAATATCAAAAAACATATTGCTTACCTAACCAAACCTAACCTAACCTAACCTAACCTAAACAAAAGATAACTTAACCTAACGAAGTAGTCAATGGTGCCGATATGAAATGTTAACCCTTTACCATCATTAGTGAACGAAATAACAAACCCGGAAATAAGGAACAGAATAGATTAAGCAAACACCCAATCGCTATGAGTTACGACTGTGTGAAGACATTCCTTGTTGTTAATGGTTGTTTGCTATATCAAATGGCCTCGTTAGTACTTTGATGTGTGTGTGTGTGTGTGTGTGTGTGTGTGTGTGTGTATCGATAAATAGAAAAATAAATATCCATGAACATAAATAGTATATGAGAGAAGTAGGATAAATAGACAGATTGGAAAACAAAATATGAAAAACTCGGGAATCGGTAAAAGCAAGAATTCTAGACAGATAAACGAACAGAGAACAGGTAAAGGGTAGATTACGAGATAAACCAATAAAATCAAATACTTGTCCCAGTTGGAGAGTGACCATCCATCACCATTACTGGATGAGCTGCCATAACCAAGAACCATCACACTACACTACACAGCCTGTGAGATTTGTTTTATTTTGGGACAATATATTGTACCTCCTAAAAAGATAATGTCAGACCTACACCAGCTGTTCACCTATGTCATTATACACCTCACAAACATAACAACACGTTATACCTATTACAAATCTATAATGTCAAAAACTTTATACACTGTCACACACTGTGGGGGGCCTTTGGCTTTTTAAAAACACAACCCCTGATTACTGCACAAAAGAGAGTTGTACGGACAATGACGTACTTGAAAAAAAAATGATTATACTGACAAACAATTTGCTAAATTGAAAAAGCAAAATTCTAGGATATTAACACCTACTGCTGTGCCCTATTTATTTACAAATCTGTCAATCATTTGCTTGACAATAATTATTTCCAGTTCCGGAATAATCAGAGATACAAATTAAGACATCCAGAGCTACTAAGACCATAATACTTCCTTGAGATAAATGTACAGAATATAACAGGTGCCTTCAAGAGAGCTCAGGCTCTCAACTGGCTCAGCCATGTTATCGACTCTGTATCTGTGTTCTTCTGGATTAATAAACTGTTTTAATATCAATTTAAATTTAATATCAATATATATATATATTTTTTTTGTCTCAAGCACCAAACTAAATTTGACATAATACCTATACCAAGGTTTTATATAAATATACAAATTATATGTCATTATAAACTAAAGGGGGCGTCGGTGGGTAGAGCGGAACCGCTCTTGCCTAGCAAGGGAGATGTCAAGGGTTCGATTCCCGGGCCGGTGGAAAGTTGTTTGGACACACTTCCCAGCCTCCCTTGGTCCTTGGTCCTTGTTCACCCTGCTGTAAATCGAAAGTTGCGAATTCGTATTCAGGGACAAGTTGTTGGAGCTTCCAATAACGTGATGATATAAACCATTGACCCTTCAGGCTTCTACGCCCTTGACTCTTCAGGCTTCTAGGCCCTGGACTCTTCAAGCTTCTACGCCCTGGACTTTTCAGGCTTCTACGCCCTTAACTAATGAGACATAAAGGCGAGCATGAACTTAGCATGCTTCCTGCTGGGGGCTGTAAACGCTTCTGCTCTTCACCTTACACAAGGATGTAGGGGAGTGCCCCCCCCCCCCAAAAAAAAGAAAAAAAAAATTGTAAACTAACTTTTAAACACGCACATACACCATTTGCTTAGCAAACTCTGTGACATTGAGTGTTTATATCAACAAATGTATCCGATGAAGCTAAAAAAATTAAAAGTTTTTTTATAATCAATCTGAATATTTCATGATCGGTTTCAATCAGTCTTTCTTGGCTGGAGCGTCTGAGCAATAACCTCGCTTCTCCTGTCATTTTATTGTCAACGAAACAGAAAACACTATTTGCCGTGTAATTTGCTGAAATCACTTCTACAGTACGTGTCCTATGGGGAGACGGTGACGGAGGGAGGAACAGTAGAGGGTGGTAGTGGTGGTGGGATGAATACGCCATGTAAAATGAAAGTAGCAGCACATTCTGAAGCCGTTACCTTTCTCTCGAGTACCTACCTACCTGGTGGTCTTGTGTGCTAAGGTACATCAGCCAGTTCCAACTGCTTTAGACGATACAGTTAGCTTAGGTTAGAATAGACGAGGTTAGGTTAGGTTATTATTATTATTATTATTATTATTATTATTATTATTATTATTATTATTATTATCATTATTATTATTATTATTATTATTATTATTATTATTATTATTATTATTATTATTATTATTATTATTTCTGATCCCATGTTCACGTATTAGGTTAGATTCTAATTATTATAAGTTAACCACGAGTTAAAGTTTTCTTAATCATAATTAGGTACATGTCAGACACTAGTTACAGTAGAAGCAATTGAAACATTAAGCATTATTTATAAACTAGTTAGATACTCGTTAAGCTGATTTGGTCATTGTTGGGTTAGGTTAGGTTAGGTTAGGTTAGGTAGCTGTCAGACACTAGTTAGAAACAATTGAAATATTAAGCGTTATTTATAAGCTAGTTAGTTTTTACTATTACTGGACACATTATTTAATTATTATTGGACATTGATTTTACTATTATTGGACACTGATTTTACTATTATTGGACACTGAATATACTATTATTGGACACTGATTTAACTATTATTGGATACTGATTTTACTATTATTGGACACTGATTTAACTATTATTGGCTACTGATTTTACTATTATTGGACACTGATTTAACTATTATTGGCTACTGATTTTACTATTATTGGACACTGATTTAACTATTATTGGACACTGATTTAACTATTATTGGATACTGATTTTACTATTATTGGACACTGATTTAACTATTATTGGACATTGATTTTACTATTATTGGACACTGATTTAACTATTATTGGATACTGATTTTACTATTATTGGACACTGATTTAACTATTATTGGACACTGATTTTCCTATTATTGGACACTGATTTAACTATTATTGGCTACTGATTTTACTATTATTGGACACTGATTTAACTATTATTGTCTACTGATTTAACTATTATTGGACACTGATTTAACTATTATTGGACACTGATTTAACTATTATTGGACACTGATTTAACTATTATTGGACACTGAATTTCCTATTATTGGACACTGATTTAACTATTATTGGATACTGATTTTACTATTATTGGACACTGATTTAACTATTATTGGACATTGATTTTCCTATTATTGGACACTGATTTAACTATTATTGGATACTGATTTTACTATTATTGGACACTGATTTAACTATTATTGGATACTGATCTTACTATTGTTGGACACTGATTTAACTATTATTGGACACTGATTTTACTATTATTGGACATTGATTTAACTATTATTGGACACTGATTTTATTATTGTTAGGTTAGGTTAGGTTAGGTTAGGTTAGGTTAGGTTAGACACTGATTTGACTATTACTATACACTAGTGAATTACCCATTAGACACTTCAAGCATCAGTAGGCACCAGTTATGCCCCTAACAACTAAACACTTGTTATACATAAATGGTTGTAAATAGTGACAGTACGGAAAGCATAAATCCTTTTTTTACAGTTTTCCAATTTACTGTAAAACCATATGACTGTTATCCAGGTATTCAGTCCACGTTAATACTCTTATCTATATTTGCATATTTCCATTTATAGAGTTATATTGATAGACAGATGATAGATAGATTAATAGACAGATAGACAGATAGAAAAGTTAACTAAAATATCATAATCTAACCTATGGAGGCACAACCCGCGGCCCTCAGGTAACACTATTCCGGTTCTTGGTGACTTATTAAAAAATAATAATAAATACAATATGAAATAGATATAAAAACAACTCTGACCTGATGCTTGAAAAATAACTCTGGCTCTATTCAGTGAACAAACTAAACTGCAAGGTTTATTTTTCAGTTATTTTGATTATTGTAAATTTTCATTATTTTAAGTTGACAGTGAAGAAATTTTAACACATCAGTTTGAATCATGTGACAGTGCGATGCAGAGTAAGCAGCTAAAAGAGAAAGATATGAATTTGTGTACTTTTCTGGAGCAGCTGACGAATTTACTGGTGTGACATCAACAGCTCAGATATTAGTGTTCGTACAGTACGTGGTGTGACAGACGAATTCACTATTCATGAAGAATTTGTTGGTCACAGTTCACTGAATGAGCAAACAAATGGGAGTGACTCACTGAGAGGATTTCTGGTGCAAATTACCCCTTTTGAGTTTAATATGGACAAATTAGTTGGCATAACAACTGACAGGTCCCTGTAATGAGGGTATCCAATGTTGATCAAACATCTTGGTCAGGGCAAAAATTAACTAATACAGTTTCACTGCATTATATATCAACAAAATGTGTGTAGAAAAGACTTGAACTTTGAAAATGTGATGAAAGTTGTAGTTTTAACTGTCAATTTATAAAATCACGAGTCTTCAATCATCGCCAGTTGAAGCTGTTTATGGAAGATATTGAAGCAGAGTACATACAGTGATCTTGTTTCTTCACAGAAGTTAGGTGGTTAAGTCGGGGAAAATATACTACAACGATTCATTAACTTCTTAGATGAAGTCGTCATATTTGTCAATAAATAGGAAAAAGCGGTTCAGAGCTTAAAATTGTGGAATGACTCTGCGATCTACAGTAACATTGTCTTTTTATATTACCAGGCATCTAAATAACTTG